TCAAGTATCACAGCCATTTTGCTTTAGAACATCACCCCACACTTTCAAGGGCCACTGAGTTGAGTTTTCAGGGGTAACTGCCACGTCTGAGGAATGAAAGTGATCTCTGCGCTCAGGGGGTGAAATTCTCTCCGAAAAGAACCAGTCATGCCGACCTCTGGTCATATTCGGAACATTCGAGAAAACATTACGACTATGCAAAGTGAAGCAGTATGGGGTAAATAGGACATCAGGGGTCTCCATTCATCGGTATACTTTCTGGTAAAATAAATCGGCCTACTGCCTGGTCTGAATGAAACACTATTTGTATTGCAAGAGTGTGGTACAAGTATATAGCACTTGCGAAACTGTTTTCTTTATCAGTTTAATAAAATTGTTTTTGCCTTCAGGAACCGCTCTCATCGAATTCGTTAGTTGACTTTGATAAGCCGGAAGGACTTCTTCCAATAGACGAACGAAGTGAGTGCAGTCCCACTTTGATTAGTACACGACTTTTGAGACACCTTTGAAGTCCATTTCACGCCGATTGTATGGGCGGAGTCGCGCCTACACCTGTGCCTTCTTTGCCTTCAATGTTGCCACGTTCATCAGCCTACCATTCACTTCACCGCTCATGGACTAATGGGACCCGACTGTGGTCCCCAGGTAACATGGGTGAGCCCGACTCCGCCCATGCGACCAACGTGGAGTGCACCTATAGCTCCAAGAACAAATTTCTGCCTGTTAATGCAACAAGAATTGCTCCCCGTTCTGCTACCAATCACTGCTTATCCATGTTCTATAAAACTGATTAATGTTGCTAAAGGGTGGAAAATTCAGGTTCACAAATACTCAAAATCCGGTCCGCAATATCAGTATTGATTCCGGCAACGTTTCAGTGCATAGCTGCTATCGCAGGTTTTTGGCCACTTGCTAAACAAAATCGCAAATATTATCAGGTACGACGGTAGACTAATTAGCCAATCGATATTACCGGTCAATATATTGACTTCAGATCATACATATTACTTTTTGTGCGCTGGCCGTATTACAATGGATGCCAAGTGTGCATGTTGTTGCCATAGAGATCAACCAGACATTCGTACAAATTCATGAATGGTATCAACCAATAGTTTGTTTAGGTCTGCCATTTTTATCGATTCACTCGATTTTTTACAGAATCTAGTCGTAAGCTGCGCGTTTTGATTGGTGTTTAATGATTATTGGCACCAAAAAAAAATGACTTCCCATGCATACGTTTTTGTCTACGCGCAACAAAATGAAGAAATTGTTCGACACCCCTACTTATTGGCTGATGCGTGAATTCTGGGACACCTGTTCGCCGTTGTGCATTTGTTCGCGCCCTGCAGATTCGAAGGTAGTTAGTATTTTCTAGATCAAAAGTAAACGCGCAATTAATATGAATATAAATCAAATAAAAAATAACAATTACTTCCTATTCTCCCAATCCTAACCAAGATTCTTTTCCAGGTTTTCAGATTCTAAAAAATTGTTCTAACATACTACAATCTCATACTCATAACACAGTTTTGGACCATCGATATTTTCAATCATTATAAAAGTAGCAAACTGGAGGCTACAATAAAAAACTTTTACAAGTCACATTATACTGATTCGTATTTAGGATAACTGAGGTCTGTAGGGTACCATTTTCTAGACGAACTTCCGTTCTGAATATTTTACCGCATTCTCGTTCCATACATACGAGAACAGTTAGTAACAAAAGCGCAGTATTTAGAGTTCTCTGGAACGGTCGGCCTTCTCCCTACGTCATCACTTCGCGGCCTGATAAATTCCAGAATTTTATAGAAGGGTATTGCCGTAGCTGAATAATTCTTAATGGGGGAGGGGGTCGCATCTGAGTTCCGGCTGCCATTCTTAAGCTTGTTTGGTAGGTTCTTCGTTGAACGTGACGAACGTGGGATCTTCAGCGAACTTTCGTGGTAGGAAGAGATGCTGCGGGAGTTGCCCCCTGAAACGCGCCGTCTTGTTTCTAAATTTTTAAGAATTGAAGCGGAGGCAAGGTTTTTTGAGCTTACTGCTCCGATTGAAGGGGATCGTACCTAAAGCTCTTAGGAATGGGGATGGGTAATGCTGAACGGATTCCTCATCACGATGGTGTAGCCTGTCTAGAGGCGGTCCACACCGCAGAGCCACTATCTCTTCTCCTGAGGCCACAACCATAAACTCATACGTTATCGCGAATACGTATGAAAAATACCCCGCTAACCATTTCGAGAAACCCTACACTCCGACTGGGGTCATTTCACCCGCATAGAAAGCCATGGGAACGATAATCTGGGTAAGGCGTAAGGGCTGAATACGTACCAGCGCGAAAAAGGGAAAGTGGGTAAACCCGAGCAAGCGATTGCGTGACGGGTTTGCGTGGCGTGGCGAAGGGCGTAATTTGAAAATGTTTTCATTTATTGCGGCTATAAATATGTTTCATTCTGTTGTTGATCAATGGACCAGCCTAGCGTGAGACACTCGTCCATACTGATCCACGCGCTAGCTGTAAACATCGTTCACCGCCTGTATCTGACGTCCAGATGAAGGTCTAGATTTTAGTCCGCTTCTTTTGGCCTCTCATTAGCTGTCGTACCATCTGAAACCTGTAGTCACATTCGACTGGCCACCAGTATAAGGTACCCATTGCCATGAAGCATGAACATATTAATATCTGCACGCATACAGTAGTCGTGTTTGCAGTGCACTCCACGTTTTCGCCGAACCACGGACGCAGCTAGTTCCGGTCAGGTCCTGAATTTGTGTCTATGTGTACGTGGCCGCAATAACCACCCGACACGTGAGGGCAAACATGAAGGGAGTGGGGGCACTGCATGGAAGCAGAGGGAGCAGTTGCCAGGACAATCTGTTCTATACGAGCTAAGGTCAGGCTATAGCACCGTGATGTTGGGATGCGCCACGAACTCAAATCCCACCCGAAATTGAAGATTCATATAAAATCATGAAAATGTGAATAGGAAGAAGAAACATGAAATTATGAAAATATGAAAATGTAAATGGGAAGAAGAAATACGAAATCATGAAAAATATGAAAATATCAGTAGGAAGTAGTAAAGGCCTGCTCTCAATTTTGCCCAGTTTCAGGTCCTCCTATTTAATTTACATTATTCTCTTATGTGCCGCGTCATTTGGTGCCATAGTCTTGCCATCTATCACTTTATCGATCGCCGCAACACAAGTAGTACCGTACTCTCAGCAATTGAAGGTTGGTTTCTCCTTTCAAAGTGATTCAGAGGCCACTGCAAGTACGCAGAAATTATAGGTGGTGTGAAAGTAGATTTTAGTTACCTATCCCAGAAAAGTTGAAGAAACATAGGCAACTGCACCAGGAGACGTCCTGGTACCGCTGGGGAAATTTTTTGCAAAATACGACCCCCCCTCCCAATTAATATCTCCTCCTCCGGTACGATCTTCCCTCCAATCCTAGCTACCGTCTCTCTAAAGTTTCCCAACCCCCTATAAACTTTCCGGAGCTTTTTCGGAAATTTCCCCCCCCCCCCCTCCCCACCTTTTCCCTAGAAAACTGTCTTGAGCGGAGGGGAGAGGAGCGGAAGAAAGCGGTGTATAACACGCTTGAGACAGGAAAAACCGTGAATTCAACAGCCGAAAACGTTTTTCTCAAAGGTGAACCCCCTCCCACAAGGACCAAATACGACCCCCATCGCCGGGAATTCCCTAATTTGCGACGCTCCCTGCAATTGCACGCGCGACTAGGTTGACCCACATGCTAGACAAAACGAGTCATGGCGCTGTGAGGTCTCTACCAACTACCAAAATGGGCCCTTACAATACAATAATCTTTTCTTATTGTATTATAAGCTCAAAGAGGACGTCGGAATTTCGAGTCCCGATTTCTGAAAACTTGGTCGGAAATCGGAATCGACTAGAAGAAGAAATGGGCGCGCTTCTCGTGTATACTCTAGTTCGTTGCGGACTACTGGGCGTGTCAGGCAGTATGAAAATGTCACGCCGTCAAAGCCATTCTCTGCCATCTTGTTGAAGCGCGCATGCGACAAAAAGTGGTAGAAAACGAGTAATACGAACGATATGATACACTCGCATCACTTGCTCACTTTAACAAATGGTGGAGAACGGGTTTGGCACCACGCCAAACTCATCCCGTTTGACACGCCCAACCGTCCGCAGCGAACTATACGTATAACTGAAATGTGTAAACTGAAATGAAAAAGCCGGTTCAGTTGAAGCGAAGCGTCAATATAGACCAACGCAGTCTTTTCACCTTTGCATTCTTCTACATCTGGTTTACTATTTACTAACAGCAAAATTCAGAGTGACGTCATCGGTGTTTGTTTGGCGCTCGCCACGGCACTTCTAGCGGCCACTATGTGTTGCTTTTCCGGTTATGCAACGTCTCGATCGCTAACCAACGTCACACAGTGGTATGAGCGAACTTATTAATATTAGCTCCTTTTTTTGGGAAAAAAAAGAAGAGGAGCAGCAAAATAGCAAAATAAAATAAAGCTGGTTCCTGGCCGTACAAGGGAACTTATACAGGACTGGGTAGCGTTTAGCGCTCATAGCTTAAAAGGTCCTAGTCAACTACACATCTGAAGCAAGTATTGATGGGGGAGGGGGGGGGGGTAATAGCCACAATGTTCAAAACGAAAGCCGCGACAACAAATACAATACGACCCCCCCTTTACCGATTCTCCAATTTTCAGATTTTCCCAAACTTCCTGCCACTTTTTCCAAAATTTCCCGAAAACTTCCTACTTTTTCCCCAAAAATTTTGCTGTCGAGGGGGGGGGGGGGTACATAGCCAGTATATAGCACCCATGAAACAGGGAAAATCACGAAAAATCAACCATCACTCCTAGAAAGGCCAGCAAGTAAATACCACCCTGCCTCCCCCTCCAACAATGAGCAAGTACGACCCCCCCCGGGGGGCCCCCCCCCCCCCCCCTTCTTTACAACGTCCGTGAAGCGAGAAAAATCAACCAACAACCATTCAAAATAAATTTTTCTCAGCCCAAATACGACCTCCCTCTCCTGGCGGCGGATTCCCCAAACAACGATGTGCCGTGAGCCTGGCAGTATGTGCAGAGGGCACAGAAGGTTGATCGAGTTCCATAACTCACAATAACTAAAAGGACTCTTGCCCGAATCATGTACTGAAGAGCAGTTCCATCCTCGGCCCGTTACCCTTTCGAATGCAATCTGCCCCATTTTAAGAGTAGGCACCCAATTGGATTAGGGAACCTTCTCAAAATCAGAAACAAATTTGAAAAAACTTTAAAAGCAACGAAGCTTCCGGAATGAAGCGACCATAGATCCGTTACTTTTAGGAAAGCTTCACCAGCGCTCGCCAACCAGTCATCTCTGTACTCTTTTGCTTTACGAGAAGTGATTGTTGCAACATATGCGCTGGTCGCCTCGGTTTTCTTCTTCGTTGCGGCCGTACAACGGAATTACGGTCTCATCATCGCCTCAGCCATTATTCAAATGTGAGTCGTATAGACAAACTGAAACAGAGAAGAAGGTTATTTTTCTTACATCAACTCGTATTTTGAGGTTATTTGCACGCGCTGTTCTCTTCACTGATATTGCTCCCTAGAGCATTCGGCTTTCATATTAGGGTACATGTAAAGCCAAGCACAAAACAAAGAGGAGACGGGGCAAGAGAAGCGTAAATTGCCGCTTCGATCGGCCGCCGCGGCAAAAAAGGCGCGACTTTTCCTTTTATTCGACTACCCTTTCGATTGGGAGCATCGGATTTCATGTAGAGACAAGCACATGGGTAGGAAACTTATGCTACATTTGCTGGTCATAATTCGTCTATTCTCGACCAATATCACCAATTTGCATAGTCGTCATTGAGCCGGTGCGGCGACGTCGCCACGCCAACGCGCACCCGGGCGCGCGAATTACGCATATCTCTTGCCACTAACCCATACACAAGAGCAGGAAGAAAATGCGCGCCGGAAATCCATAGAACAAACTCGGTCTACGCAATGACGCAATTACCTACCTGCCTCCTCGAGCTTGACGGCGATCATGGGTGCCTTCAGTCTCCGATGACTCATCAGGGGTGCCTTCAGCTTTCCATGACGGTGGACGGTGGAGGCACTGGTGGGCTTGTTCCTGCTTATAAAGAAACATCTCAGGAGTATTTCATATGGAGCCTTCCATGATCATCACCCCGTAAACGTTGAAAACGATCGCTATGAGAAGTGTCTTTCTTTCGGCACACCCCTGCAGGCTTCTGCTCAACGTCTGAAACTTACTTGCCTCCATCGCATGTGCAGATTACTTAATAAAATGTGGTCCAGTCCTAAGATCTTTACAAGTGTACTGCGACAATTTCATATGAGGCAACGAAAACGACGTGAAAATGACAAGATATGGCACCTTGTTCCGCTCATTTTTTGCATAAAGGCACAGTCCCACGACAACATGGGCGGAGACAGGGATTAACGAATTACCCATTGTTCCACCTGACTGTCCCCGCCCACATAATGAGTATAGACTGTGCCTTCAATACCGTCCAGTGGATCTCAACAAATGGATTGACCCAAACAGATGTAAATTTTTCAGAATATGTCTGGTTGCTCTTAGTCAACTACTCAGCCCATCTCGTCTCAGTGCAGTACTAGTCAACTCTCGTGTTCTTGCCATAGACAACAGCTCATATCCCGTTGCCCAAGTCAAGTATGTTTATCAATTTTTAACAATGTCGATCAGCCCGATGCCGATATTCTTACCAATCCGGGTCAGCTTTTGCACAAAAATCTCCAGGCTAGATTAAAACGCGCTCACCAAACCCATCAGGAAACAATTACAGTCTTGCGCATGCCGGGACCGACGCTAGCCCCTCCAACTCCATTTGCTGAAAAAGGAAAGGTGGGAGACGTGCAACGTCCTGGCACAACACCAAACCCACTCCCTCCCTCCTCGTGTCAGCGTCCGCAGCGAACAAGGATGTATCTCCGTCCCTAGTAGTTCCCCCTTCCCCAACACCTACCTACCAATTTCCCACATTTTCCACTTTTTCACTCAATTTTCCCTCGAGCGTGGTGGGGGAGGGGGTATGAAGTACACAGAAACAGGAAAAATTACGCGAAAAGTCAACAATCGCGAAAATTTTTAATGCGGCAAATTTCTCTCAAACCCACATACGACCCCCCCCCTCTCCCAACAATGACCAAATACGACCCCTCCCATGTGTTTCCCACAACGATGCTGTACCCTGTTACGAGAGTTAAGGTTAAAGTGGGCCGCGTCGTGGCGACAGGCTTTCTCTCAGAGTCAGATAGAACGAATTTAGGGACTTCTCTGAGGCAATTTTTTCATATTGCTTTAATTTAGCGTTGTGCTCTTGTACTCCTTCATCGTCACGCTTCTATTTGTGATCTCGGCACAATTCATCGCCACAGTAATCTCGCTTCGAAGTCATTCCACGACCAACACCTCCACGTCACATAATGTCTATCCTCAGCAGAGAACGAGTTTTTGAGGAAAATCATGTTCTATGAATATTTCTATGATCGATGTTCGAAGTCTGTGATGATATCGTACAGCACAACACACGTACACTTCCACCCCAGAAATGGGGAGGTCCTGGCTGCGTACTTCATTTCACTGCAGTTCTTCTTTTGGTGGAAAACTGCCGCTTTCGGGCAAATTTGACCATGCCTTTGTCCAGCATCAGACAGTATGAACCGCTACTTGAAAAATATACGAAAAGCGCACCCGACGCCGAGTTCAAATGAACTGCATGGCCACACCCTTCTCATTTCCGGGATACAGAGTGCTATCACCTATTATACTTGGTATGTCGCAATCAGTGGGACGGTGTCAGGAAGTGCCGCGGAATGAGCCCGCCTCTGACTGTCTCGCTCTGAAGGTATGGTGATCGGGTCGGTTAGTGACGATCTAGGACGAACGCAAGTGGTGGAAACGGTGCGGGTAGACTTCCCATCCCTCTCGAGATCGCCCCGACGATTACCACAATATCAACCGCGCCTCAAGTGAGCCAAAGCGAGCGGGTCAGGGCATAACAGAGACGGCAGCACGCGATGGCGTCGCGGCACGACACAAGCAGAACTGTCACGGCGAAGTTCTACCGACCGCACGCACAGCTATTAGTTTTCGCATGCCGTCACCACTGATTGCCTCGCGGGCGAATCCAATGATTGGAAACTTTTCTCAGAGGGCAAATACGACCCCGCCCATGTGTTTTAAGTACACCATTACACCACAACCGGTACTCATAACTCCTACGTTTGCGGACGAGGAAGTTCGATAGGGACGATTGTGAGACAGAAAAACCACCCAAACCAGAAATCTAAATGCGAGAAACTAGCAATAACAAACAAAAACTGTTGCTAGGTAAGCGGACAACCTGCATCGCAATCTGTCGCTTCGTCGCGCGCGGCGTATCGTGCGGCAAACTCTCCGTGCAACAGTTTATCGATTGTAGCAGCGAAATTTAGATGGTTTCATGCAGGGACAAGACCCCATGATAGGCGATATCGGATCTCCCGTCCCTTACACATTCAGATTCAGAATGTCAGAGAGGACAACTCGTCCGTTGGACACAGCATCGCTCGCCACGCCCATCGGCGCGGCATCTCACGATCGTTTTATCACAGTGTGGTTCACTGCGGACGGTTGGGCGTGTCAGGCGGGATGAGTTTGGCGCGGTGCCAAACCCGTTCTCCACCAGTTGTTAAAGCGAGCAAATGATATGACTGTATCATATCGTTCGTATTACTCGTTTTCTACCACTTTTTGTCGCATGCGCGCTTCAACAAGAAGGCAGAGAACGGCTTTGACGGGGTGACACACTCATACTGCCTGACACGCCCAACCGTCCGCAGCGAACTAGAGTGTACGTAGAAGTTAGCGAACGAAAAACCAGTGAAAAGAAAACGAAGGGCAAGTTTTATGACGGAATTCAGTACGGTAAAACGCCCTGGTAGTTTAGAACCAATAACAAAAAGACGCTCTTTGTTATGATAAACATTTATCATCATTGCTATTTCATATTCAGCAGATAAATGCGACTTATTAATTAAAACTCTATAATTGTCTATTACAGAGAATTACGAAAAGGTTTCATCATAAATGACTATTCACCTGTATCACTCTCTATCATTATCCTGCTACTGACTACAAGACATTAAATCGCGTTGCTATTCGCTCGTAAAGCTGCTCGTCTCAATTAAGTATTAAGTACTACAAAACTGAACCTGTTTCAAGTCACCATCACATTAGCTAGCAAATCGATACGGTAATTCAAAAACATCTACAAATGAATAATTGGGGTAGCTTCAAACCGAGCGAGTCGATTCTCATTGAGGTGATTTTTTCCGAGTGATAATTAACACCTATATTACTAAAGAGGGGCAGGGGGAGGGGGTTCAAATAGAACGTGAGTGAAACAACGCATCAGATCAAGGAATTTTCATAGTGCATGCTAAGCACTTCTAAATATTATGCAAGTTATTTATAAATTATGTATATTCGGTAATTATGTATAGACATTAAAACGCACAGGTTACGATATGACCACAGCAAATGCATCATGCGAAAAAAAAACATGATGGGGGACTCGACTGGAAAAAATGCTAAAAAATTAAAACACGAAAACCTACGGGGTTTCGGGGAAACAAGTGAAAATCAAGAAAAAAAAACGTGAGAAATTGACTGAAACAACAACTTATTCAATTTTCAAACAATTTTGTGCTCATCTTGAGGTTGGTGATCGTACTCGTAATCGGTGTGAACAAAGGCACGCTCCACCTAAATAAAAAAATATTACTAAGCAGTAAGTTCGGAGGGCATCTCCTCGGCATGATGAAAAATTTCCCTCGATACAACCAACACAATCGCTAACGAATTAAAACTGTGTACCTCAGATCAACTACCAGAAAAATGCTAAAAGTGTGGCCCAGTTGACTATAGCGCGTCTCAAAGGAGAAAAACCAACTAGCAAAACTGTTCTCTCTTCTCCAGGGCTATTGCGAATTCCGTAACCATGGCGTCCCTTATCTTAAGATCACAGAGGCGTGCGGCTAGCACTACCCATTCAAACAGGACTGCTCAGCCGAAGGAGCGTCGTACGAAAGTGTCTTCTTTGGCAGTCCCCTTTGCGATGCAGTCGGCATCCATGGATGGGATCGTGGCCGTGAAGCGATGACAGCAACCCACAATATCAGCTGTTCTTGGGGGGAGGGGGGGGGCAACAACAAGTCACAAGGACGATACATCCCTTATTCTTCGGCTTCAGAAGGCATGCCCCGTTTGGGACGTCCTTACACCGTAGTAGGCTCATCTATTCTTGACGAAGTCAAAGGAAAGCAGCACTGGCAGTCTCGCGATGAGACGCGAGTACGGTTATCCAGCAAATCTCATTGCCTCTAGGCTCTCATCTACAGGAAAGTACTCAAGCAATGAATCCCTCATATCTCGGCGTATGGCACGATACATA